CCTGTGTGATCTAACAGGTCTTTGGGAGGTAATTGGCAGTAGGCGGTCTCTCAAGAAAATGATAAATTATACAGTGTAGAGACTTCACAATGTTTTGTTGCATGGCTCAACTTGAGAATCCCCCCACCCCCAAAGTTTCCCTTTCAAACGAAAAAGGAGTCACTTCTGATGCTGTTTTACAAGTAAAACATACGTTTATAGAATAGAATAACAGAGTTGGAAGGGATTTTTGAGATCTTCTAGTCTAACCCTCTGCTTAGGCAGAAAACCCTACACCACTTCAGACAAATGGTTATCCAAACTCTTCTTGAAAACTTCCAGGGTTGGAGCATTTACAACTTCTGGAGGCAAGTTGTTCCACTGATTAATTGTTCTAACTGTCGACAAAATTCTCCATAGTTCTAAATTGCTTCTCTCCTTGATTAGTTTCCACCCATTGCTTCTTGTTCTACCCTCAGGTGGCTTGGAGAATAGTTTGACTCCCTCTTCTTTGTGGCAACCCCTGAGATATCGGAAGACTGCTATCATGTCTCCCCTGGTCCTTCTTTTCATTAAACTAGATGTCCTGCAACCTAATCTTGAATTAAGGCAATATCTCTATTAAGATAAATCAGCAGTAATAGCTTCTGCTTAACATAAATTTTAAATAAATCTAGCATTACTTAAATCTACGTGCACCCATGTGAGAGAGTCACTGTGTTATATGTTATATGCAGTACATGTTTGAAATAGAGCAGCTCCAAGTTCTTTCTCTAGGCCAGGAGTGTCAAACTCACGGTGTCATGTTGTCGCCACGTGCTCGTATTGTGACTTTCACCCCCCTTCGCTAAACCGGAGTGGGCGTGGCCAACGCGTGATGCATCTTGCCCACGAGTTTGACAGCCCTGCTCTAGGCATTGAAAAAAGGAGTCATTTAGGATGTATTTTGGGGTCAGCCTGAGCATGAATCAAAACACAGACTTGCAAGGATTGTCTTCTCAAGAAATTCTCATCGTAATCCCACCTAGCTGGGCACTGGTTTTGATGACCCTCCTATCATTAGCTTTGAATTGTTATAAAAAGCAAAGGTAAAGGTTCCCCTCGCAAATATGTGCTAGTCGTTCCCGACTCTAGGGGTCAGGTCTCATCTCCATTTCAAAGCCGAAGAGCCAGCGCTGTCTGAAGACATCTCCGTGGTCAAGTGGCCGGCATGACTAAATGCCAAAGGTGCACAGAACACTGTTACCTTCCCACCAAAGGTGCTTCCTATTTTCCTACTTGCATTTTTGCGTGCTTTCGAACTGCTAGGTTGGCAGAAGCTGGGACAAGTAACGGGAGCTCACTCCATTACGCGGCATTTGAACCACCGAACTGCCAACCTTTCTGATCAACAAGCTCAGCATCTTAGCCACTGAGCCAGCACATCCCTTTGTTATAATTATAATTGTTGTAATGGAACCCAATCCTTGACTGCATTCCTATTTTAAAGTGGGTTTGTCCATTATCCCTTTTACTGAGTCCATTCCTCTACTTTCTTTTTCAGGAAGAAAGAAGAAGAGGCAATGAATTAGTCTGATAAGGACAGACCAATAATTCATGACGTATAAAAGTGGGTTCTGTGCATTACATACCGTGTTTTTCGGAGTATAAGATGCACCTTTTTCTCCCCAAAAAGAGGGTGAAAATCTGGGTGCGTCTTATATGCTGAAGACAGAATTTTTGGCCTCCTGAAACCCCGCCCCCTTCCCAAAAATGGAGGGTTTGCGAGACCTGCAAAATGCTCCTGGGGGCTGCAGAGGGCAAAAATGAGCGAAAAACAGGATGGTTTTTTGCTCGTTTTTGCCCCCGCCAGCCCCCAGGAGCCCTTTGCAGGCCTCTCAAACTCTCTGCATGCCCTGTTTATCACAAAAAAATGAGGTGTGCAGAGGGTTTGGAAGACCTGCAGAGTGCAAAAACTTCCTTTTAAAATTTACCTCTTCAAAATCTTGGTGCGTCTTATAGTCTGAAGAATACGGTAGTTGATGAACTTGCTTCTAAGCGTGACAGGCCAAAGGCTTGTGGTTGGTAAATGGGGTAAGGTTATTAGGCCAGGCTGTCCTAATAATTCCCTTTTTTAATATTAGGGAAGTGCTTAGAATTCCTTAATATAAACAATTTTCTTCTTTGACACGTATCTTTTTTTTTTCTTCTCTTCTAGCTTTTCGTTGTAGCCTCCAATTTCTCGGAAATATTGCAACAGGGAACCCTGAGTCCCAGAATTCAATATGGAAACTGGCTTCCCCGTCTCTTTTCTTGTAAGCATTTGCAGGTGTCATCCTTTTTTTTCCTCACAAAAAGGGTAGAGTTGCTTGAAGGTGCTTTAATTGCGCTTGATTTTAAGCTTCACTGTCCTCGTTCGCAAGTCGTCAATTTTTTTGGAGAAGAAAAAAAAATTGGGGGAATAAGGGATTTGGGAATATATTCTGTGGCTTTCTTCCTCCACGTTAACTTCGAGAGTCAAAACGAGAGTTTCTGTTTTAGATTGGATTAAATTGGATTGCAGGACCACGAGCTTTTTCTCTGCGGCTTAAAAGATTTATGTTTAATCAAATTCAGGTAGGTGGTTTCTCCATCTTAGGCAAGATCTGCTTTCTATCATCTGCGGATGCAGAAGTTGAAATTCCTTCAGGTTTGGATGTATCCAGTGAATACCTGGACTAAATAAATAAGTAAAAATGTCAACAGAAAACAGATTTTTTTGTTTTTAAAAAAGACTTTTAATTTGCAGATGAAAAAGGAACAAGTGTACTTGGTTAGCAGGGACATTTTGGAGTTGCCTTTGAGTCAACATTGATTCCGGGCAACAATCTATAGACAAGTCCATGCTGTTTCCCCAGCAACTTTTTCTGAAGTGGGGTTCCCTTGCTTTCTTCCTGGAGCTGAGAGAGAGAGGAGGATTGGTTCAACATTGTTCAATTGGCTTCGTTACTAGGGCAGGATTGGAATGCACGGACTCCCAATTTCTAACTCAATGCACTTAATAGCTGTCCCAAGCTGGCATTGAGCAGGTATCTACTCTCCTGTCGCTTCGTTCTCCCACATCCTGCATTCAGGAAGGGTAGATGCGGAAGACCCATTTTCAGATGTTTGAAGAGTGATGAACTGTTACGGCAGGGGTCCTCAAACTTTTAAAACGGGGGGCCAATTCACGGCCCCTCAGACAATTTAAGAGCCGAGGTGGCGCAGTGGTTAGGGTGCAGTACTGCAGGCCACTTCAGCTGACTGTGATCTGCAGTTCAGCGGTTCAAATCTCACNGGCCTCCAAGGACCTAATTAAAAGTTCACCCCAGGCAAACTTTTTTTGAGAAGCAATTTTGCATTAAGTTTATTCATTAGAGAGGATTTTTCCAAACAGTTATTCTGCAGATGTCTTGAACCACAAAGCCCATCTCTTTATATAATGGTAGGGTGATGGGAATTATAGTCCACCCAATAAAGAGGGTGCTGGCTTCACAAAGTTTATTTCCATTTAGTGTTCTGTTTCTCAAAACAGTCCCCAAGAATTTTACCTTACTTATTTACTTACTTACTTACTTACTTATTTACTTATGTCCCGACTTCCAGAGAAAGCCAAGCAATTTTTATTTCTTGAACTGTTTCATGGATTTTTTGTTTCTAATTTTATGATCTGAGAGCCGTGGTAACACAGTAGTTAGAATGCAGTACTGCATACTACCTTAGCTGACTGACAGCTGACAGCAGTTTGGCAGATCGGATCTGACCAGGCTGAAGGCTGACTCAGTGTGGGTAAAATGAGGACCCAAATTGTTGGGGGCAATAGGCTGACTCTGTAAACCACTTAAAGAGGGCTGTAAAGCACTGTGAAGCAGTATATAAATCTAAATGCTATTGCTGTTGCTATCATAGCACTGGCCAATGTTCAATCCCCATTTTTCTTCCTCCACACCAAAGAGGTACTGTATATCGTAAAGGAAGAAAGGAAGAACTAAGTGGGAGAAGAAAAGGTGGTGATGGAGAGATTATGCATGAAGTAGTTGTGGAAATATCTAGGAGACAAATAGGACATCTTAGTTGCAACTGCTGGCATTCAGCTGTGTGCCTAGTCCAGCAATTGATTTCTTGATTCAGGAATAGTAGCCCTTCCTTGTGGAACAGGGGTGAGCAACCTGTGTGTCTATAGTTTCCCTTTTGAAGAATTTGGAGCTAGCAATAACACTTAAACTTATATAGCACTTCATAGTGCTTTAAAATATTCTTGTATGGTTTATAACAGGGGTGTCAAACTCAATTTTATTGAGGGCTCATTAGGGTTGTGTTTGATCTTGGAGGGCTGGGGTGGATGGGCCTGGCCATTTTGGGCATGGCATGTGATTCATTTTGAGGGCACCTGTGGTGTCCAAATGCTAATGTAGGACTTCCCTGAGAGCCTCACTCATCCTCATAATCTCCTTCCTTCCCTCCTTTTGCCTTCCATCTTTATTCTCCTTTCTTCTTCCTTTCCCTCATTCCTTCTTTTTTCCTCCTTGCTATCTTTCCATCTTTCCTTTTCCTTTCCTCTTTTCCCATTGGTTGGATCCACCCTTGGTTTACAGCATCAGCATATTGCCCCCCCCCCAAAAATCTAGATCCTCATTTTATTAACCTTGGAAAAAATGGAAGGCGGAGTCAAACCCGAGTTGGTGAGGTTCAAACTCCTGACTGTGAGCAGAGTGAGTTGGCAGTATGGCATTCTAACCAATGCATCACCAGTGCTCCTCGTTTAAATTGATTTTGGTTGAAATCATTAAGAAGTTTGCACGCAAGATTAGCAAACCAGATGAATCTATTAGTTGTGGTTGTTTCACGTGGTTTCATTCTTCAGGAGGAATTGTAAATATATTTGACCCAGATATTTATGTGGTCCAGCAAAATGATTTCTACCAGTCAACCTTGCCAATCTTAAAATGTAAATTGACCTAGTTAATATATTGATGGGAGATTCAACAAGCAATGCAAAATGTACACTGGAACTTTAATAAAATACCCCCAAAGTAGGCAATAGTTCTATGCTGTTCTCAAAAAGAATTCCATGGATATACCATATAGTGTCCAGAAATGGAGCTTCACTCAAAGCAGGCTTATTTTATTCAGGAATCAAAGTATTATTTCTATCACTCTTTAATCCCTGGCATTGGAATATAGATATCATAATATCAATGCTTTGTGCTTTTAGGACTTTCTGAGTCTGAAGTGTCATTCCTTCATTTGGACTATGCCTTTTCTCATATCTCAGAGCCGAGGTGGCACAGTGGTTAGGGTGCAGTACTGCAGGCCACTTCAGCTGACTGTGATCTGCAGTTCAGCGGTTCAAATCTCACCGGCTCAAGGTCGACTCAGCCTTCCATCCTTCCGAGGTGGGTGAAATGAGGACCCAGACTGTGGGGGCAAGTTGCTGACTCAATTTGCTAAAAAAAATTGTAAACCACTTAGAGAGGGCTGAAAGCCCTATTAAGTGGTATAGAAGTCTAATAAATAAGTAAATAAATAAATAAATAAATAAATAAATAAATAAATAAATAAATAAATAAATAAATAATCTTAATGTCCTATTGGAATTACCTATTCACCACCAAGTTATAGAACATGCTGCCCAATTTGCTACCAAGAAGAATTTTCGTAGTGATTTGGCAATTTATTGCATATTAATTCCCAATTTATTGCCCCACTGTTGTTGTTTTAGTCATTCAATTGTCTCTGACTCTTTATGATTTTATAGGCAAGTGTTCTCCATGCACCTGTCGAGCACAGCTTCTTTCAGTTGTTGGATGTTCAGTTTTGTATCGTTTTTGATCAGCGGTGGGATTCACTTAACCTTCCTTACCAGTTTGCAAATGTGAACGCTTGTGCCATCTGCACATGCACAGTGATGGCACATTACATTGGGGTGGTGGGCGGAGCCTCCTCTTTCCTTTCCCCTTTTCCTGTTTCGCTAACCATTCCTAACATCATTTGATTTCTGCAATGAAGTTGCGGGCAGGACATGGCCAAAGTAAAACAAATGTACTCTTATCGTTTTGTCTTCTAGTGATGTGTGTCTGATTCAGACTGTCCCACTAAACATGGTTAGTTTAATTTTTCTGTTTTGATATATACCCGTATTTTTTGGAGTATAAGATGGACCTTTTTCCCTCAAAAAAAAAGAGGCTGAAAATCTGGGTGCATCTTATACACTGAATACAGCATTTTTTGCCTCCCCAAACCCCACTCCCTTCACCAAAATGGCCATGCAGAGCCTTCAGGAGGCTTTCAGAGTGCTCCTGGGGGCTGGGAAGGGCACAAATGAGCAAAGAACAGCCAGTTTCTGGCTCAATTTTGCCCCTCCCAGCCCTCAGGAGCATCCTACAAGCCTCCTAAAGGAGGTTTAAAAAAGGAGCCCCTTTTCATGAAAAACAGGCTGTTTTGGGAAAGTCTGCAGAGGGCAAAAACTTTTTTTTTTGCCTCTTCAAAATCTTGGTGTGTCTTGTACTTCAGTGCATCTTATACTCCGAAAAATGCGATAGTACCATCTCAGGAAACTAGAATTAATTAGCAAAAAGGCAACACAGTTTATCTTGTAATCATTCAATAAAAGTTTGTACATCTTAGCAGTAGCGTATCATTTGTACACAGTTCCACATCTAATTCAATCTTACTATTTTCCAGACCCATAATTCTTCTTATCACTCTTTAATCTTTCTGTTAACTGAGAATAAGGAAACATATAAAGCCTTTCAACTCCATTTTTTTTCTTGCTTTCAACTTAAAATCTTCTTGGGAAAAATTTAACAAGCCAATCTTGTTATTTATCGGCTAATTTTAATATTCGTGAGCAGTCTCCGCATGGCAGTTTGGATCTCCTTGTTCCTTAAAGTGTAGATCACAGGGTTCATCAAAGGGAAAACCATAGCATGGAAAAAGGCGACCACTTTGTCCAGTGGGTAGTCTCGAAAAGGGTGGCAGTAGATGTAGATGGCTGGACCAAACATGATGAAGATGATAATGATATGGGTGATGCAGGTAGAGGAGGCTTTGCTTTTACCTATACTGGAGCCCATCCTGAGTTTCATCAGCAGTGCCAAATAGGAGGTAAGAAGGAGAATGAAACACACAATGCTTGGTACACCACTGCTAAAAAACATGACAAATTCTAGAGTGTAGATGTTGGCACAAGCTAATCTGATAATCTGGGTGATATCACAAAAGAAGTTATCCAACTCATTGGGACCACAAAATGGAAGTAAAATTATGAAAATGACCTGGATGATGGAATGTATGAACCCTCCAAACCATGACATAACTACCATAACCCAAGAAATGCCCCTGGTTACCACTATGGCATAATGCAATGGATGGCAGATGGCTACATACCGGTCAAAAGCCATGGCAAAGAGGAGGAACATTTCAGCTCCTCCTAGAAAATGTATGAAAAATATCTGAGTGATACAGCCTAAGTAGGAGATTGTCACGCAACCAAAAAAGATGTTGAGGAGGAGTTTTGGATGCGTGACACAACTGTAAAAGATATCAACCAAGGCCAAGTTGGCCAAGAAGAAAAACATGGGAGATTCCAGAGAGGGATTCTGCAGAATTGTCACAACAATCAGGATATTCCCAGGAAGAATGATAATACAAAAGAGCAGCAGAAGAACACAAAATAATATCCGAAATTCCCAGATTTGTAATAACCCCAGGAGGACAAACTCAGTCACGGGTGAATAAGTTTCATTTTCCATCCTTATACCTGTAAAGGAATACAAATTATAGAGAATCAGTGTTAATAGTTTCCATTTAAACTTTGTGTAATTCCAAATATATCACAGCCATGGATCTAAGAGTCATGGAAACAGTGGGGTTTTAATCCCAGTTGATTCTCAGAGTCTGCCTGGTTTTCCTAGGAATCATTCATTAATATTTCCTTAGCAGGAAATTTAATCTGAAATAGTCATTAGCAAGTTGGAGCCTTCCAGATATTATGGATTTCAGTGTCTAATATGACCAACCGGCAAGACTAAATCTGTCTTACAAGACAATTAGATTTCCATTTTCACTCTTATTGGCCATATGGATTGTTAGTTCCCACCTTTATTATTCTATCCTGTTATTGCTACCTGTCAAACTCCAAAGAAATCAAGAGATTACGCAGTTCAAATAAGTATAAAAATTTATTGCAATATTAGGTTCTCTACAAGAATCTGAGCTATTAACTATCAAGGGAAATTAGTGGGAGTTAAGAAAGGCATTCAAAGTGGACTGGGCTTAGCAGGAAGTCATGATACATTTGACCCCTCCCTCCAACCTGGTCATCTCCTACCCTCTTTAGCTGCATTGTTAGACAGCAAAAGTGACTAACAATCATGTGCTGGAGAGCATAATAGCAGACCTATCACTAGAAGGCAAAATCATGAAACTTCATGTCAATTACTTACTTTGGCCTTGTCATGCCATTCACTGTAGAAAGCAATTATGTTTGGAAGAGTTAATGGTTAAAGGAAAACAGGCTGCCAAGGAACATGGTGGCTGGATATCATCAAAGCTGAGAGTATAAAAGGGTAAAGGTAATGGTTCCCCTCACACATATTCCTGACTCTAGGGGGCAGTGCTCATCTCCATTTCAAAGCCGAAGAGCCAGCACTGTCCGAAGTTGTCTCCGTGGTCATGTGGCCAGCATGACAAAAAACTGAAGGCACATGGAACGCTGTTACCTTCCCACCAAAGGTGGTCCCTATTTTTCTACTTGCATTTTTACGTGCTTTCGAATTGCTAGGTTGGCAGAAGCTGGGATAAGTAACTGTCAGGAAATTTCTCCTTAGTTTTAGTTGCTTTTCTTCTTGATTAGTTTCCATCATTGCTTTTTGTCCTACCCCCCAGGTCCTTTGGAGAATAGCTTGGCTCCCTCTTCTTTGTGGCAGCCCTTTGGATATTGGAATACTGCTATCATGTCTCTCCTAGTTCTTCTTTTCATTAATCTAGACATACCCAGTTCCTGCAACTGTTCCTCATATGTTTTATCCTCCAGTCCCCTAATCATTTTTGTTGCTCTTCTCTGCACTCTTTCCAGACTCTCAATATCCCATAATCTAAACTGCATGCAATATTCTAAGTGTGGTCTTACCAAGGCATCATAAAGTGGCATTAACACGTTAGGTGAACTCACCAACTTTCTTCTAGGAGCTGCAAGGGAAATACATAATATTCCCTTCTTCTACTCCCAAGTTCTCACTGAGGTACTGTATGTTGAGAGAAGGACAGAGAGCAAGTGATCTGGAGTTACTCAGCAATCTTCCATGGCAAAACCTGGATCTCCAAAATCCTAGTCCCACAACATATCTTACTATACTATAGAGAGGATCTGAGAGTTGTTAAGGGCTCAAAAGAAGAAAAAAGTGATCTAATATCAACTTAAAGATAAGAGGTGAGAAAAAACACATTTTGTTTGACAAAATAAAGCCTGATCTATTCTATCAAGTGAATCCTTGTCTTCTCCTTTGAACAGCAAGTGGAAAATAGCAATAGCACTTAGACTTATATACTGCTTCACAGTGCTTTTGCAACCTTCTCTAAGTGGTTTACAGAGTCAGCCTATTGCCCCCAACAATCTGGGCCCTTATTTTACCAACCTCGGAATGATGGAAGTCTAAGTAAGTCTTGAGTCGGTTAGGATCAAACTCCTGAAAGTTGGCAGAGTTAGCCTGCAGTACTGCATTCTAACTACTACGCCACCACCAAAAGTAGCTTGCATGGAAGAATCTGGAGGAAGAATGCAAAAACTGAAAATAAAAGATATGGGATGGAGTTGATGGCTAGAAATAAGGGCCCA